GGTCAAGTGGTAGAGCACCAGTGAAAAAGCCAAATGAGAGAATGAGCGTCTGACTTCAAGCCCTAGTACTGGCACAAGAGAGATAAAGATGGAGAGAGGGGGAAAGAGAGGGGGGAGGGGAGAGGGGAGAGAGTAGAGAGGAGGAGAGAGGAAAGAGAGGAGGAAAGAAGGGGAGAGGGAAGGAAGGGAGGGAGGGGGAGAGAGGGAAAAGGGGAGAAAGAGAGAGGGCTGGCTCTCTGAAGCCCTTTTATAAGGTCCCTAAACCCTATTCATGGTCTAATCACTTCCGAAGGCCTTACCTCCTCATTGGCTGGGGTATGTCTCAGTGCCAGAACATCTGCCTACCAAGCGTAAGGCTCTGGGTTCAATCCCCAGCATCCTCAAAATATATAGTGGAGGTTAGGATTTCAGCCTATTATTTGAGGACAGGGCTTTTAGGTTAAGCCATTAACCTTTTTCTACTGTAATAGACACTCTCCCAAGTTCCAGCATTTTTCTATAAGATGCATCGTTTGTGATGGGCACAAGGATGTAGGCTGCATGAAGTAGGGACTTTCACGGGCTTGTTCACCGATGTGTCCTAGCGCACCAGTCAACGTGTGAGTGGCATATTAACAGGATGGGTAGATGAATGGAGAACAAATTGATGAACCCATCCACATTCCAACACTTGGTTCCCATCAACCACAGCATCTCCCTGGTCAGTGTGAGCAGCAGCAAGGACTCACTCCAAAGAATAATTCCTTTTGGCTTCCTGGTAGCTCAGAAAGATGCCAAGAACTATCAGGGGTTGAACTCAGAACCTTACACTTACTTGGCTGGCACTCTACCACTTGAGGCACACACTTCCAGCACAGCTTTTATTTTGTCAGTCATGGGGCTGGAACTCAGGGCCTGGGCATTCTTTCCTCAGCATTTTTGATCAAGACTAGCACTCTTTTTTTGGGGGGGGGTCTGGTTGTGGAGCCTGAACTCTGGGCCTGGGCGCTGTCCCTCAGCTCTTGAGCTCAAGGCTAGCGCTCTACCACTTGAGCCACAGTGCCACTTCCGGCTTTTTTTGTTTTGCTTATGTGGTGCTGAGGAATTGAACCCAGGGCCTCATGCATGCAAGGCAAGCGGTCTACCACTGAGCCACCTTCCCAGCCCAAGACTAGCGTTCTTGGAGCCACAGCGCCACTTCCGCTTTTCTGGTGATACATTGGAGATAAGAATCTCATGAACTTTACTGTCTGAGCTGGTTTCTGACCATGATTCTCAGATCTGTAGCCTGAGTAGCTGGTGTTACAGGCGTGCCACTGGCACCTGGAGGTGGAATCTCTCTGACTTTTCTGCCCAAGGCTGTCCTGGTATCATGATCCTTTGGGTCTCTGCTCCCTGAGTAGCTAACATTACAGGTATGTGCCACTTCACCTGGCAAGAATTTTTTTTTTCAACATATCCTCCAGTTTGAAGCCAGGCATCCAGTGGCACACACCTGCAATCCTACCAACTCAAGTAGCTGAGATCTGGGGATTGTGGTTTAAAGCCAGCCCTGGTGGGAAATTTGTGAGACTCTTATCTGCAATTAACCACCAGAAAACCACAAGTGGCACTGTGGCTCAAAGTGTTTAGAGCACTAGCTTTAAGCAAAAAGAGCTCAGGGACAGTGCCCAGGCCCTGAATTCAAGCTCCATGACTGACAAAAACAAAAAACAAACAACAACAACATCAACAACAAAAAAACTGTCCAGTGGCTTTCATGGGTCTTTAGTTTAAGCTAAACGGTCACATTTTAGGATGTTTGCATTCTGCTTCAACTTCATCCACTACTCAAAACTGAGATCTGGAAAGATCAATTATCTTGACAACGACCCAGCAAAAGAATGGCAACTAATTTTCTTTCAGGATAAGAAATGTAAGGGTTAGGAAAAATGCAAAAGACAAACCCTGTTTGACCAGCCCTCTCTTTTCAAATCCAGAGACATCCTATTTGTCCCATGTCACAAAAATGAATCTGCAAGTATGATTCATTGAGAAACACTGCCTTGGGCAAGAGACTGGGAAGTAGTTCAAAAGGCACTTTAACATTTTATTTTAATTTGAACTCTAGACCTGACTAAGTGAAAAACCTTTCCAAAGGCTGCATAAAATAGCTATCCTGTGTGTGGGGGTGGGGGGGGAGAGAAGGGTCTCAAGCCTGAAATCCTAGCCAATTTAGGGGATCACAGTTGAGGTCAGTCCCATCAAAAATGTTATTAGACCCCATCTCAACCAAGGGCTGGGTGTGGTGGTGCATATCTGCATTCTCAGCTAATGGGGAGGCACAATGGCTGGGCACAGTATCAGAACTTATCATCTCAAGTGAGTAGAGAAAGCACACATACGAGGATCACAATCCAGACTGGCCTAGGTAAAAGTAATCAGTTAAAAAAATAACTGGAGCATGGTTCAAGCAGTGGTATGCAGATGTCTCTTGGAAATACAGATTTCATTTCATTTTGATTGATGCCAGTGGCATCTATTCCTTTTTTGGGGGGGAGGTCCGGTCATGGGCCTGAACTCTGGGCCTGGGCGCTGTTCCTCAGCTCTTCAGCTCAAGGCTAGCACTCTACCACTTGAGCCACAGCGCCACTTCGGGATTTTTTTTCTGCTTATGTGGTGCTAAGGAATTGAACCCAGGGCCTCATGCATGCAAGGCAAGCACTCTACCACTGAGCCACCTTCCCAGCCCATCTATTCCTTTCTTTTGGTAGGCAGAGAATGTTTAATATTTCTGTGCAGATTGAATGGAACTCAGGTGGGAGTATGTCGGGGAAGGCTGTGCCTCGCAGGAGGGGGTCTTGTGCAAGGCTGTGGGATTTGCTTTGGAGAGACCCAAGGAGTCTTCTCAGCCAAGGGCCTGGCAGGTGCTCAGTGCACCCCCACACACACTTAGTTCTTGGTTTGGGTTTGAGATCGCCCCATAGAGGGTTGGTGAAGAGTCTCACATTTCCAGCTCTTTTGCTAGAATCCACACCCCTAAGCAGGATGGAGGACTAGGTCCTAAAAGAGCCTGGGAGCCCCTAGGAAGCAGCCCAGAGTCAGGAGCCAGGACTCTGTCTCTTCTCTCCTTTCCCCAGGCGGGGCAAGGGCAGAGGGAAGGCGGAAAGTCGAGCAGGGAACCCAGCCTCTGATGAGAAGGGGTGGAGGGAGAGGGTCTTGCCACTAACATACACTGTAAACTGGTTTAAAACAGTAACTTAAGTGGAGGGACCGGGGCTGGAGAGCGACAGAAGGTATTCAGAAGGTGACAAAGGAAAAAAGCCAACAAAAAGTTGTTTGTCCTACTTCTGAGTTTTTTGTGGTTTCCACAATGGCCCTACAAAATGGCATGCCCACCAACAGTGTGCAGGGGTTCCCTTTCCCCCACACCCTTGTCAACAGTATTCAGCTTTGATTTGCCACTTATTTCTCAATGAGACTGTGTGTGTGTGTGTGTGTGTGTGTGTGAAGCTCAGGGCTAGTGTGCTTGTGGAGAAGCACAAGGCTCTAGAGTTTATTCTAAGGGCTTGCATGTACACACACTCCCTTACACACACACACACACACACACACACACACACACACACACACACAGTGGGGATAGTGGCTCTCTCCTGGGGTGGTAGTGGTGGTGATTGGAAGGAAGCCCAAGGGAGCTCTCGGGTGGCTGACAAGGGACTGGGAAAAAAAAAAAAACAGCTGTTATCCACACACGGTGACACAGGTCACAACTGAAATGCTGGATTTCTTCTCCACCATGGAGAAGTCCTTGGGGAGCAGCACACACGCTGACCCTGGCGCTTTGCCAGGCCCGTTGACCTGCAGCCCTTGGGGACACCACACTCAGGACAGTTCTGTGGCCACAAGTGTGCGCCAAGGGTCTAACTTCATTCACAAGGAAACACTATCTCAGTGGCCACTGCCCAGTTCCTCCCAAGTGTTGAGACCGAGATGCAAAAGGCAGAATCCTTGTCCTCAGAGAGGTGATGGCAGAAAGAAGAACCAGGAGGACCCAGGCAGGGCCAGATGTGGCATTCAAGGGACAGACTAAGGGAAGCAGCTAGGAGGAGAAAAAGGTTTTAAACACTAAGTGGTGGAAATTACTACCCCAAAGCAAGTATTCCCAGCACTACTGGTGTTGCAGCCATCTAATGCCAATATGTGTGTGTGTGTGTGTGTGTGCGCAAAGCACATGTGTGTTGCATGTGTGAACACTTTCCCCTTTGCTTTCTTGCTTTACTAAAATGAAAGGTCATTATCGCTAATTATAACTTCTAAAAAAGGGTTTCCTAGCTTACTGCAATAGTTCATGATCATCTACTTGTAAGAGCAGACCTCTATCAATTTAATTACCTGTGCAGTGATTTCCTATTGGCTAACTGCTACATGCACCTTCACTCAGCTACCCAGATAATTAATTTGGATATATTTATTTTGCAAAGCACTTTCTCTGGAAGATCCATGTCTGTGGATCTGTGCTTGTTGTTTTGTGTGTGTGTGTGTGTGCATATACATATATATAATCACATATTGACATACACATATATACATATGTATGCAGATATACACTATACTCTTGTGTATACATATATTATATACATAGTTTGTGTATACACATATATACATGCATATACACTTATATACACACATATGTACATCTGTGCTTATACACCACGCTCATATGTATATCTGAGCTTTTGTGTGTGTGTGTATGCATGTGCACCCAGGTGTGTGCACATGTCAACAGTCCTTGGGTGAAGCTGTACCAACAGCTCTTTTCATGAGTGCCAGGTTTAAGTACTATACTCATTCTGAATATTATGAATTAAATTTTTTCCCCAGTCTTCTAGGTCAGGAATGGTGTTGAGCTCTTGTGTGTTTCTAAACTTCTGTTATTATAAGCTGAAGTTACCTAATCAAGTCTAGTCATGGAGATAGAGAAACATTCGCTATTGAATGTTCTTCTTGCTAGAGAAACAATACAGAATAGTTCCACGTACCCAGAGCTGGTCATCCATGCCTGGAGGGTTCTTCTTGATAAAAGCACCATAGTATGTAGCAATGTTCCGGTGATGAGAATACTTCTTTAACATGTTAATTTCTTGCTTGATTTCTTCCTCTTCATCCTACAGTAGAACCATAAATAGGTTGCATGAAAACTCACTGTTATTAGAATCCTATTCTTTGAACATTCTTTGTACCAATTATACTAGAATAAGTTCTTCAGTATTTTTCTTCCATGGTGAGCATAATTATGAAATCTGACTAAACTGAAAAAGCTTCCTCCAACGGCATACTGGTAGCCTAGACAGCTCTTCCACTGGGATGGCCTACAGTAGATAATATGCAGTCTGCACAAGAGAATAAATTCATCCCTTCACCCGGAGGCGACCGAGCCAGTCAGCCTAGGAGATAAAATCCACATTAGGCCGCTGGGAACTCAGTGTATCAGACAGCCATCACAGATCATATCCACCGTAGGAAAGATTGAAGAAAGCCACAGGGAAAAACACGGGCTCTCCGATTTAAATTTTCACTAGGTTCATTTTCTTTGAAGTCTCCTTTTATTGAAGTGTCTGACTGAAGGTGATGAAAGTCAAGACAGAAAGGGAGTGGGAGAAGTTCTCTAGATCTGAGGAAGTTCACCAAGCAGGACTACCCACATCACCTTCAGGACACCATGCATGAAAAGAAAAGGGGAGATGTGGTGAGGACAGAGAGAGAGATGGCTCCCCTACCGAGTTACTTTCCTGATCTGCAGGCTGCATTCATTCTGAGTTTCAGCTGGGAATCCACAGACTCAATCCTAGTATTGGTGGTGAGGGGTGTGGTCTCCCTGAATCTCATCCCATTTGTGGGTACACACAGCTGGATGGTAAAATGGTGCTTGACTTTTGAGGCTGCTGCAAAAATTTCTAGCTTGTGATCATTGTTTTAGAAGCAGCAGTGAGCAACATGACCAAGAGCAGGAAGACCATCCAGCTGGGTCCCCATCGGTCCCTTTGTACCCTTCAGCCACAGGGCCTCCTCCCAGGGGAATTGCATGAGTGGCTTTCAGCATTCTTCCAAGTGTGATGGTTTCTTTCATTCTCCTTTGGTTCATATCATTTCCACACGTCAGTGTGTGTGTGTGTGTGTGTGTGTGTGTGTGTGTGTGTGCATGCATGTGAGCATGCATGTGCATGCACGTGCAGGTGTCCCAGTCCTGGGGCTTGAACTCAGGGACTAGTGCTGGCCCTTAGCTTTTTCACTAAGGTTGATACTCTGCCATTTGTGCCATACTTCCATTTTCAGCTTTTTTTTTTTCCTGGTTAATTGGAGATAAGAGTCTCATGGACTTTTTTGCCCAGGCTGGCTTTGAACCATGGTCTTCATATCTCCTGCCTGTGTGTACCACTGTGCCTGGCTCTACACATCATTTTTGGTTGGGTTTAACTGACACTCCCCAGAGATGCCTTGCTGTCATTCCCTCAAGGTCAAGTCCTCCCACTAAACCTTGCTGTGCGCCCCCCACTTTCCTTCATGCTTTCCACAGGTACTCATTCCAACTGCAGTGCTGCCTGCCTCTCCTCTCCATGGATCATAAGCCATTCTCTACTTCAGCTCTCACTTCTAGAGTCCCTTCCTGAACTGCCAAGCTCCCTAAGTCTGTCTATCATGGTCATTTCCAGAACTGCCATCCACTAACAATCCATTGTTACCATCAACACATCAACACAAACACTAGGTTGTTCCCTAGGACAGTCTCAGTACCAAGTGCCTGTGCATACAAGGAAGCAAGCTTGCCCAGGGCCCAACTTCCTAGAGCAATGCTAGTGAGCTTAGAAGGATCAGCTAAAAACAGAAGGCAGAGTGCCCAGATGTGGACATTTCCTGGCCACACAAAAACAAAGTTAGTGGAAGGAAATGGAAATCTGAAAACTTAGGAGAACTAAAAACATGTTACACATCACGTGGTCTCACTCAACGGAAGACTAGGTGATCTCAAAATAGAACAGACGATTGGGATGCTGAACTAAGGATAAGGAGATGCACGTGATCTTCACCATAAGGAACAGTCAAAGGGCACAGGGCTGGGCTCGTGGCTGGGCTGGAGGATGGATAGCATACTGCTGACCAATGCGTTCTTCCCTGCCTGCTAGCTGGACATGCCCACACCAGTCCCCATTCTAGTCCTATGAAGAGAATGACTTTCACTGACCTTCACCTGGTTGAAAAATCCCTGCTGCACACCTCAAATGCCATATCAGCATGCATAGGAGCTATTTTCAACCCTCTGTAGAGGAGAGTAGGATGAGTGGATGGAGTTTGAGGAAGCCTAAATAGGAGAAACCAACCCAACGGTTGCTACGGCCTACGATTTGCGGCTAGCTGCTTCAATGATAAAAGGCAAATACAAGAGGTGATGGAGTACATGGCTCACTTTCCAACTGCAGCTGATAATCTTGCTTAGTGAGAAGGCAGCGTGGATCTATTTGCTGTCTGCCTCTGAGTTTCTGATAGTTTGGTGCGGGATGTGCTTTAATAAAAGCTTAGCATATCATTATGAAAATGAGGACTTAGGAAACAGTGAAGTAATAACATAATTCAGTATTGAACCATCTCTTCTGAAGTTCAAAATGAAGTCGGCATATTCTCCATCACTTGGCACAGTTAAACTGAGGCAGATATAACAATAAGAAAAGCTTATCATTCACTGAGTTTGGAGTCAGAAAGATGAGCGAGGGCGGGTGGGGTGCATGCTGAGTTTGGAGTTCACCCCTTTTTGCTATAAGATTACAGGAAAGTCACCCACTTTTTTGAAACCTGAGTTTTTTTTCATGTAAGGAAATACATTAGGTGTCTAAGTTTCTGGGTTAGTTGATGTATATGAAGCTTATAAGGTATATTCCCAAATAATAATTATTAATCTTCTCAACAAAGAAGATCAATAAACAACAAAACTAGGAGGGCAAGAGTGTTTAGTCCCCTTGAATTTTATGTTTCGGTTGCGGTTTTTTCAAACACTGTTATGGGACACTGGGTCATGGTTGTGTAGCTCTAATATATACCCTTGATCTTGACCTTCAATGGTCTTGTAACTGAGCATGCAATTCCTCAATGCTTCAGGGCTACTGTTCATCCAGATTTGTCATCTAGGGTTCTGAGGACAGTAAGAGATTCAGTGAAATACAAATAAAGGCTCCATCGAACTACAAACAGCCCAGCCTCAAGTTATGGTCCAGGAAGGGAGATGAGTTACAGTGTTTTAAAAAACACAAATACAACCACTGTGACTGAACTAGGAGAAGGGGAAGCCTTTAGTTTGTAAATGAACTTATTGCTATATCTTAAGAATTAAGCACAGTGACCAAATCCATTGAGAGCCTAATGACTACTCAAAAATGAAGTATTAGGATCAAATTGTCTTAAACTTAAACAGAGACTAACTTAATAAGCCAAACCCAGTATTTTGGGAAGATCTATTATTTTTCCACCAGGAGACTCCAAAATCGAGTCTGATTCATTATGTTAACTTCAGGCGTGACATTTAAACTCTGAATGTCAGACCTTTCCAGCTACCAAAGGGAATAAGAAATCTCCCTAAGCTACCTCTAAAGACTTAGGAATGATGAAGTGCTTAAATGTAATGTTAGTATAAAGATAAAGAAGATTTTTTTTTGGCTATAGGGCTTGAATTCACTCAGGGCTTGGGTACTGCCCCTGAGGTCTTCTGCTCAAAGCTAGGACTCTACTACTTTGAGCCACAGCTCCACTTCTGATTTTCTTGTAGTTAACCAGAGATTAGAGTCCTATGGACTGCCCAGGCTGGCTTTGAATTGTGAACCTCAGATCCTAGCCTCCTGAGTAGCTAGGATTACAGGCATGAGCCACCAGTGCCTGGCTAATTTTTTAAAATCTTAAGAACATGAGAATCTACTATTGTTAATATTTATGATAGACTGGGTTAAAATTGGCCATGATATCTTGGCTGTTCCCCAACAAAAAGTAGAGTTCATGACTCTTCTCCTATCAGTTGGACTTAGCCAGGTGACTTGTTTTGACCAATGGAACAATACCAAATGAATTTAACAGAATTTTGAAAAGCACGTATGCACTGGGGCTGGCCCTCTCCTCTCGCTGGAGGAGAACCCTTTTGCCATGTGAGAAACAGGGTGGCATCCCAGAAGATGAGAAACCATGCAGATACAATAGGTTCCAAATGCAAAGAAAGGACAGACTCCAGGCCATGCTTTCAAGCCAGTGATTGGGCAGTGATGTATTCAGGACTGTGATCATTAAAGTCAGCCAAAAAAGGCAGGCTCTGGTGGCTCACACCTGTAATCCTAGCGACTCAAGTCCTAGAAACTCTTATCTCCAACTGACCAGCAAAAAGTTGGAAGCTGAGCTGTGGCTCAAGTGGTAAAGCACCATGCTTGAACAAAAAAAGGCACCCATGCCTTGAGTTCAGGCCCCAATCATAGCATAAAACAACAGGTCAGTCAAAGCCAGTCTCATGAAATGTTCACTGTGTGCCATGGGCTGTTTGCGCACAAACTTATGTAACACTAGAAGTGGCTCTTTGAAAAGTGTTTTTGATGATGTAATTATACAAATGAAGGAGTCTCAGAAGGTCAAAGAACTCCCTCAGGTTCGAGTTTACTCATCTTCAACATTAGAGCTCAGTTTTGATCCCAGATTTGTCTGCCTTGCAAGTGTACTAGTACTAATTCTATTCAGAAAACTCCCAGACAGAAAGGCAATTACCTATGGGACTAAAACCAAAGTGTTTATCAAAAGAGTTTAGGAACATCTTAAGCCAGGGGTAAAGAAAATCCTGACTCTGATCCTCTAATTAAAAGAGCTTATAAACGTACAATACTATTTGTTTATGACTGACTTTCAGGGATAAAGATTTTTAAATTGTATATTTACTATGTAGTGCCATATATTTTACATGCCTAATGTATGCTAGAATTTAAAAATAGAATGAATGAGGTATTCAATATTATTTTCTGTAACCTACAGTTTGTTCCTCATTTAACATTCAATCTATGGTATAAGAACAAAACCATGTGACTCTTATGACAATCGAAGTACTGGGCAGAAGGAAGTCTGGAGGGAAAGCGTTGCATAGATGCTTAGG